TTTCTGCTGCAGAGGCCTGTTTTTTAGAAAAACTAGAGGGGGACTTTGTGTGTTTTTTAAAATGAAAGCCGAGATCCTGCAGAAAACAGGACAGCAAGCCAGATAGCGCCAAGCCGTGGGGTTGGAGGACTGCTTGCTCTGTCTTCATTTTTCTTGCCCTGAATTAATCTCCAGACTGATGTCATCTCCCACCCTCCACAGTAGTTTCCTCACTTCATTAGTAAGCCTTCTGCAAAGTGTTCATTTTGGATTACGGGTGAGACTACTAAGCTTTTCAGAAGGTAGCATGGTTATAAATACCACCCCTGGCAGGCCTGGAGCCATACCCTCTAATCAAACTCATTAATAATTTCTGTATCAAAACACATGAATATTGACAGCAAACGGGGTAAAGTCTGTGTGTAGCTCCATGCTCACTTGGCTCAGGTTTTATTATCAAGGGAAATGGGAGAAAATGTCCGTTTTCAGAGCTTTTTGGATTTCAGTTTCGGATGAAGGACTGGGGACTTGTGGCTCACCCTGAAAGTTAATCCCCTTTCATCAGAGAGAGAAAAATTCAGAAGCCAAATAGATAAACGAGGGGTTTTGACCAATGACTTTTAGTTAGGATCACAGAATTTTGGAGCTGGTCTAACTATAAGAGCTAGGACTTACCCAGCACCACATTCTTTTAAAGTAGCTTTTCTTATTTAATTCCTTAATAATCCCAAGAGGCAAATAGCATGATTATCTACATTTTAGAGGTGATGAAATTCAAGCTTAGAGAGGTTGAGTACTTGCCTACATCCCACCGTCTGTAAGTGGCGGAACAGGATTTGAATTTAGGAAGTTGGAAAAAAAAGACTTTTATTCTGCCATAGAGCTCATGCAATACCATTTTGTTATTTTTACATGTGGAAAGTTGTGGCCCAGGGCTATTGCATGACATCACACAACTCACCAGGTGCAGGTTTTTCTTTGATCCTCAGCATTTCTGTCCCAACATTCCACTCTCCTTTTGTAACTATGATGACTAAGGTGTAGCTAGTTTTGGTCTACTACTTGCAGAATAGAGTAACAGGGTAAAATCGGTTAACCCTATTTTGAAACTTTAGGAGGTAGGGTATAAGGTATAAACGTGCGTAAACATAGCAGAGATGGCCTAGTGAGCGGACAGGTGCCCAGGGAGGGACTGCTGGTCCTCTGACTCACAGGATGTCATTCCAGGAATCAGATGTGTCTTCTGTATGATGCAGCCCATCCTGGGAGAGGACATTCAGAAAGGGGGCAGATCTGGTGTTCTGGAGAGGATGCGATACATTGTTACTATTCCATTTCATTTATTGCTGCTTCACAAATAACCCCAAATTTTGTACCTTAAAATAATTTATCATTGTGTCTTCTAGTTCTGTGGAATCATTCCTTTCTCCTGGGCCCGTCTTCCCTGGGGCTTCTCTGCTATTGCAGTCAGATGACAGCTGGGGCTGGCCTCTCTGAGCGTTTTGACAGGGCTGGACATCCAAGAGGGCTCACTCACATGGCTGGCAACTGATACTCTTTCCCTTTTCCAGCTGCTTTGATTAAGTGGTTCTATTTAAAAAAAACAAAAACAAAAAAACCCAAGTTCCTACTGATAGACATACAGGTAGTTTACAGTCGTTTGCTATTATGGACCACATTTCAAGGCAGAAGATAGGTGAAATTTACTCTGAGATAAATATCACATGTAGGAATTTATCCGACAACCATCCCTTCCTTTCTGAGAAGTGAGCTAGTCTGGCAGAAGCTGACTTCATCAGCCATGATCTTTTGCCATTTAATGAACCTTACATCTTGTTTCAACAAGGCTCTCTCTTAAAGCTTCAACTATAATTTAATGTGTGGTGGCTGGATTGGCCATACATGTATGTAGGCGGCAAGTAGCGCTTCATGAATCGGAGAGTACACCTTAGGGGAATTTGTGCTTACTCAGTTTTCCACACTGTGAAAGGGGGATGTATATGAAGGTGGAGAAATGGAAAAATTGCCTTTGCTGAGGCATACTTGGAGAACTTCTATTTTTGCTCCAAGAAAGCCAAAGGAACGCTCCCCCTGGGAATGGGGTGCCCTCAGTCTCCATCCCTTCTCACCATTCTTATTTTCTCCCCTGTGTTAAAATGTTTTCTCTGTCTTGCCAGATGATCCATTGGTCCTGCACTCCCTTAAATTGTCACTAATCTCCCTTCCCTCTGCCCTTTAAATTTTTATTCTTTTCAAACAAAATAATGCCAGTGATTTGAGAGTTTTCATCCTGGATTATATTAGAAGGTATCCATATTACATGCTGAGCATTTTAAAAATGGGAATTTACCAAAGGGATTAAAGTAAACAAGAGGTCAGGTTGGAAATGTAGTTGGCGAGTCCTCAGGCACATTCTGCAGGACTTTCAAAAGACAGTTCTTAACTTTTTACATGTTTTTAATCAGAATTACCAGGGTCAGTTGTCTAAGTTATATCTTATTAGACCCTCACTACCTTTGACTTGTATCCTGTGTAGCCTTGCCTTTGAGAAGCTCAAAGCACTCAGTTTGCCAAGACGTGGGCCATATTTAGTCTTTTCACATCTCTTCAAGGGATGCGGACGGCTGGACAAGCAGGAGACCATGACCTGTCCTGGAGATAGGAATGTGAAAGCCTTGGGCACAGCTGGGGCTCCTTCAGACTGAGTGCCAGTTCCCGCCCCTTCGGGGAACACATGGCAGAAGTGGGGCCGGAGGCAGTTGGGGGCCTAGGACAGCCACCCATCTGAGTCATCAGACTCAACCCCAGCTGTCCTCCTTTGTCCCCCAGTATCCATCACCCTCACCCCCTTTTAACAGAGCTAAGCTCACCTCTCCCCACCATAGAGCCCTAAGGGGGCCCCTGCCCTTCTCTGCTACCGCAGCTTTCTTCATTAACTGCTTTCCTGGGCTCAGGCTAGCCATGAGGAACCACACTCAGCCCCCTGTTTCCTGCTGCCCTCTTCTGGAATATTCTTTGCCATTCCTCCTCTGTTCCTCCTCATCTTGACCTGGCTGAGGAGCTCACTTCCTCTACAGGCACTTCCCCTCTTGCCCCATGTCAGGGGTAGATACCCCTCTGCGATGTGCATTACACCTGGGCTTCCCAGATGTCAGTGGCCTGCTCCCCCCCAGACTGGCAGCTTCTTGGGGACAAGTGATCCTGGTGACTCCTCCCTCCAGCTCTGAGCCCAGGGCACTAGTCAGTCAGCTGAGACAATAAGCTCCGAGTAGATGAGAAAGAACTGGTACACGGGAAGCTGCCTGGAAACCCCTCTTCTGGAGTCTTGTGCCTCCTTCAGGTCCCTTTGTATCCCTTTGTATCTTGCCACCTGTGAACCCACTGCCCACCAACACTTTCTGAATGTGCACTGACCCGAGTCTGGGCTTAGGGCGTGGGAGACAGGAATGTACCCAAACACTTGCTGACTCAAGGCACTTAGTTGAGGTCACTGAATGAACTCTGAAGAAACATTTGTGCCTAATGGAACCCTCTGGAATGAGATGGAATAAAGTACTGAACTGCGTGAGGACCAGTGCTCCAGCCTTATGTCTCATGCAGAGCTGGTTAGAAATGCAGTGTGTAGACCCCACCAGACCTCCTGAATCAGAACCTGCATTTTAGTAAGATCCCTAGGGGATTTGTTTGTACTCTGGGTTTGAGAGGCACTGGTCTTGCGGGTCAAGAGAATAGTGCAGGCCGGGGCTTCAGTAGTTAGAGAAGCTACATCAGGGACGGAACAGTTGAGCTGGGTCTCAGTGGAGGGCAACACCCAGGGTGGATGAAAGGAGGAGGGTATTTGAGGCTGGGAAGATTTCGAGCCAGGAAAGGTCCAACTCTTCTTGCTCGTGATGTTTGTCTGAAAATAGTAGGCTCTTTTATGACTAGAATTTTGGCAGAGCAGTTGGATCATTCTTCTGAAGGATCTGATTTGGTAACTAGGAAACCTTTGATGAATATGTTAGATCTGGTGTTTTTCACCACAAAAGTATAGATTCAGTTTTTACTCTTTCTTAGAGATGGCAAATGTGGTTGAAAGAACGCTGGAGTGGGAGCGTAGAGCCTGCGATTTGGTTGTGGTTTTGCTGGTAATGAAGCTGTGGGATCCCGACCAAATCACTTCCCAAAATGATCATTTTATTTGTTCATGATTTTGTATGTCAGGAACTGGGGCGCAGCTCAGCTAGGCAGTTCTATTCCAGGCAGCATTGGCTGAGGTCACTCACTCAGCTGGTGGCAGCCACGGCTGGGCTGGAAGGCCCAGTGAGGCTTTTTATTCATACCTAGCCCCTCCACGTGGCCTTTCACCCTCCACATGGCTGCTTGAGCTTCCTCACAACATGGTGGTCTTGGACTTCTAACGTGGCAGCTGGCTTCCTAGAGGAAGGAGATAGAAGCTGCATATGCTCTCTTAATAGCTGGAACTGACACATTATCTCTGCATCCTGTTGGTCCCAGGGGTGAGGGGATAGTCTCCATCTCTTGATGGATGCAGCAGCATGCAGGCATGAGGAGGAAGGAATTGATTGTGGCTGCCTTTGGGGACTTTCTACCACAGTTCCTATGTCATCAGGACCTAGACTCCTCCTTTCTTTCTGCTCTTCCATCCTCAGCGCTGGCTTTCCCCTTGTGGTTCAAGGAAGGCGTAAAGGAGAGAGAGGGCAGCATCCTCACGCCTTAGAGAAAGTATATTTCATCTGCCAGGTAGTCACAGAGCCATGACTAGCTGGAAAATGCAGATGTTTAGCTGGGGGCAGAGTGCTCTGCTAGAAATCAGAGGTCTGTTCTAAGGAAGAAGGGGAGAATGAATGTTGGGAGGAGCTGCCAGTTGTTCCATCTTCCCCAAAGCCAAAACCTGCTTGGAATTTTTAGGAGGCAGAAGCCCCAGCCAGGCCAAGTCTGGAGACTTAGGGAGGCGGGCTCCGTAGTAAGCTCGCCAGATGTGCCTGCCTGCACTGTGGTCCTCATGGCCTCTCTCTCTGTCCCAGTTCACCACAGGCACATGCAGCGACTCGGCAGTTCACAGCTGTGACCTGTGTGGCAAGGGCTTCCGCCTACAGCGTATGCTCAACCGGCACCTCAAGTGTCACAACCAGGTGAAGAGGCACCTGTGCACCTTCTGTGGCAAGGGCTTCAATGACACCTTTGACCTAAAGAGGCACGTCCGCACACATACAGGTAAGGAAGGGTCATGTGCTTAATTTTATTTTTGTTTTCCTGCCCAGGAGTTCCTCCTGTTTTATGTCCCACCATATAACCAGGTTGACAGCATGGAGCCATGTCCTATTTCTAGAAAGATCACGGGATGGAGCACTTGGGGGCTGTTTACTTCCTGGCTGTGCCCCCTTCCAGCTTTGTCGTCTTGGGCCAGGCAAGCCTCTCTAAGCCTGTTTTCGCCCCCTGTGAGTGGGAAAACTAATACAAGTTGGCATTGCTCAGGACAGACCACTGGCTGGAGGGGTCCTGAGAATTGTGATGCTGACTCAGTGCTGTGAGATTTCAGAGTGTGGCCCCCTCAATGCGCGCCTGACTGCAGGGATGTGGTTCCTGTGGTTCCACCGGTGCTATTTTATGCACCTTTCTTGGGAAGTAAGCCTGTCTCCAAATAGCATCATGTTGTTCCTGAGAACTCAAAAAGAGAAGAAAATGATCGCTCACTTAGAGCTGACCGAGTCCCCTACTTGAGGCTGGCAGGCAAGCATCTTCCTCCCCTTAGGCCTTCCTCAGTTTCCCTTCTCATGAAAAGTGTGAATCTAGGTCCTTCCCAGCTCATTACACAGAGTATCCTGGGGGTGCTCATGGGCCTCTCTCCTAGCTCTTCTGATTGGTGACAGCCTCATTTGTTTTATCTTAGAAACATCTGGCCTCCAATCTTCTCCTTTAGGTCCATGGTCCACACCTTTACCAGAGTGATCCCTTGAGGAGAATTCTGAGGATGCCACGTCCCTGCTAAAAAAGTCTCCAACTCTGGGCAGGAGGAAATCCAAACCTCCTCATCTTGACGGTCTTCATGTAAAGCCCCTCAAAATCTGGGACCCATTTTCAAATCCCCACCCTATCTCAGCCCATCCCAATTTCATCCCAGCCCATTTCATATCATTTAAGCGTATCCCATCCAAACTCATTCAGCCTCATCCTGGCTGCTGCACACTCTCCCCAGAGCCTCATCGAATTTACTGTACATGGTGTCCCTGATCCCTGAAGCCCTTTCAGAGTTTAGGGTCTCCCCTGGCATTTTAGTGGGAATGGGAAAATGTCCACTCCTCTCTCCAGATGGGGTTTCCAGCCCCTCAACACCCTGCAGGACCCTCTGCGATCCTAATTCAGAATTCCTTTATGGCCCTCCTGCTTCTTTGTTCTTGGAGTACTGGCCAGAAGCCACCTCCCTGGTCTGGGGAGAGTGTCTTCCACTTTAGTGGGTGAGCTGGTGTACCAAAAGGTTTCTTTTTTTTTTTCCTTTTAAAAAACTTTTTCCGAGGGAATTTTTAATTTAAATGTAACGTACATCCAAAAAAGTGCACAAATCATGAGTGCATAATCCAGCAAATTTAGGAATTTTTACAAAGTGAACACACCTGTATAACTAGCACCCAGACCAAGAAACAGAATATTTCTAGACCTTGGAAGTTACTGCCCCCTCCCTCTTTCCCCCTTCAGATCACTATCTCCTAAGCCTGGGGGTGGGGGTGGGGGTGGGGTGGTGTCAGGCTGCAGCTCCTGAAAGTATCCTACCTTAATATTCAAGCAGATGAAAGGAAAGATTAAGACATCTTTTTTGGATATAACCTCTCCAAGAGGAGAGTAAATCAGAGGAGTGTGTGTGAGATGGAGAGCGGCGATGTTAGCCAAGTGACATCCGATTCAAGACTGGAGGAGAGAAACTGGGGCAGAAAAAACTCCATAACAGTTTGTGAAAATATTTCAGCAAACGAATGGCTATTTTCAGTCCAAATTGTCTTAGGTTGGGCTCCCTAGAAGCAGATTCTAAGATGGCGATTCTTATGAAAGCATCTGCTGAGGGAGGCGCTCAGGAGAAACCCGTAAGGGGGGGTGGGACAGGGTGGCAGGTGCCCCGAGCAGGACTGTGTCCTCAGCTGGAGTCCGGCCCCGGCCTGATCCCACGGGGATGGCACCACAGCCTTGTCCTGTCTACAGGCAAGCAGGGGACATTGCCACACCACTGACTGGCAGCCAGGCACTGGCCGAGGGCTGTCCCTTCCCTGGGCAGGGAGGTCAGTTACTCAGTGCGCATTCCTGGCAGGAGGAGCTGCCTGGCCCTGTTAGGTCACCAACAGTGACAGCTGGGGAGCGATGCGCTGGCTGGGAATAGGTCTGGACCGGGGACCAGCAGCACCCAGCGCACACATAATAGGGGGATTTGCTCTATTTAAGTTAAGCTGACAGGACGCTGAGGCCAATGTGGAAATTACGGCTGTTGATCCACCTTAGGCCAGTGGGAGGGCCGGAGAAAGGCATGAACTTTAAAGAAACCAACATAAATCCAGTTTACAGCCCAGGAAACGCATCGTGGGCCTGTTTTTAGGGAATATTCTTTTGGATTTGTTTAGGTGTTTAGGTTGAACCAGCTGGGATGCATTCTGAGAATGCATTGAAGGATTGGTTTGCTTTTGGTCGGGGGAGATCTGTATTTGAATTAAAAACGAATACTACCAACACTTGCTTGTGCCAGACTCTCGCTCTGCCTGCACCCTCGCTGCTCGCAGTGTGCTAGTCCCTGCGGCAGGTTGGAACCGCAGCATCACCTTTATTGAGGGCCACGTGGCAGGCGTGGTCTGGGCATTGTTGACTGGCAGGATCAGCTGGGCCAGGCTCCTCAGACAAGTACAGCTTTCAGTGAAAGTGTTTTCTTTTTCTCTTTGTAAAATGACTACTTATTGTATCAAAGGGCTTCAGCCCATATCAAAGCTACGGAGAAGAAAGTGTAAGCCACTGTCAACCCTTGAAAAGGGCACACACATTTGTAGGCTCCCCAGCTTAGGCTTTGGGGGGGGCAGGGTGCCAGGGGACGTAACCGTGTTGGTTGTAACTTTACAGCTCTAACAGGAGGTGGTTCAAGGTGCCTGCCATTCCCGGGGCAGCTTCCCTTAGAGAGAAGCTGAGGAATTCAGGTTTGAGGTCAGGGAAGGAGGGAGGGGGCAATGGCCAAAGGGGGGGAGTATTTGCCCTGCCCCCTGGGACACCTCCCACCTTATCTTCCATCGGCCACATAGAGGGAGACTGGAGGCAAACAAATCCCATTTTGATTGAAGAAGAGGAAACAATGGTGTCTTTGTCTGGAGCCTAAAGGGAAGGACGGACTGGACTGGGAAAGATGCAGGTTGGGAGAAGCGTGGAGTGGGGCCGGGGAGGAAAGAGAGAGAATAAAGTGTCTCTACCTCTAGTGAGTTGACTGCTGTCTTGTGGGATTGCCTCCTTCACTCATCCAATGGTCTCTCCTCTATTTTATTTTGACTTAGTTTTTAGCTAAAGTAATATGAAAGGGACAATGACAGAATAGAAAGTAAGCCTCCCTCCTTGTACCCATGTTCCACTCCACTTAATTAAAAAAATTTTTTTCCCAGCCCTGGCCGGTGTGGCTCAGTTGGTTGGAACGTCGTTTCGTGCACCAGAAGGTCGTGGGTTCGATTCCCAGTTGGGGCATGTGCCTACGTTGCAGGTTCAGTCCCTGGTTGGGGCACATCAACTGGTCCCCTATGGATATTTCTCTCTCTCTCTCTAAGATCATTAAAAAAAATTTCCCCCCAGAAGTTTTAAGCACACATTGCTTTTTTAACATACTTTATACCTTGGAGATTGTTTCACATCTGCACAGGTAGACACACCTCACTCTTTTTAATAACTGTCAGAGCATTCCTTAAATATGAGATTATGACATAATTTCAAATTTGGAGGCACCATTATTTTCCCTTGCTCCAACTGAGGACAAGTATTTCCAATTTCAGCATTTTCCCTTTTATTTCTTTTATTTTTTAAATTTCAGACAGTGCTACCATGAATATTCTTGTATACCCTTTGCCTACCTGTGTGTCTTTCTGTAGATGATGTCCCTGAAGTGCACCAACGGGTAGATATTACCCGTTTTAGGGGCCACATTGCCTTCCGAGGAGGGCACCCTAAATATCCACTCCCACAAGGAGGCCTGTAAAAAGTGTCTCACTGAAGTTCATGTTTGCATAAAGTTCAATGAAGGAGCATTTAGCTGCATCAAGGAGAGCAAGCAGAAAGAACCAGTAACGAAGAATTTTCTTTGGTGATGTGAAGCTTGATTTTGGCTGTAGGAATAGCACATCAGAAAAGGAGAAACCCTTTTTGATAATCCAGCACACAGTATTTTTTGGACTCGGTAATATAGGCCTATGGCTCAACATTCAAAAGTGCAGACCGTGAAGGAAGTCTCTTCCCTTCTCTCTCTACTTCATGACCACTATTTAAAAATATTACCCTTTTATTTTTACTATGAAATAAATAATACATCCAGAAGTGCCTACAAAAAGCATACATACAGGTACAATTTAAAGACAAATACTAAATACATCCCCACGTATGAATGGAGCATATTTGTTATGTTGAGCTGGATTGTAAGCTCTTGCAGCTGTGTCCACTGAGTACCTAGTATGTGCTGGCCCTTTGCGTGTGAGGTCTCAGTAAATCCTCAGAGCCACCTTACAAGGGGGTATGGATTTTATCCCTATGTTACAGGTAAGAAAAGTAAGGTCAGCAATCTGACCATGGACTCAGCTAATGAGTAGCAGAGGGGTGATGCCTGGGTTTTCAGTGGCCTTGGACTCTTACTTCTTACTGTCTAGATGTCAGGAGGTTAATGGTGCCTGGAGCAGGGTTGTGTTTTTAGTATCCCACCTCAGACATGGACAAGATTGGCTCTTGCTTGTGAGCACTAAGGTGGGTGAGGCAATGTCAGGGAGGCCTTAGCATTAGTTCCTCTTGTCCAGGGCTTCTGTCTGGCCACCTTTATCTGCCACCCCTGAATTCATGGGAGATGGGGAACTTCAGGAGGGAGGGGCTTGTTCCCAACTCCAGAAAGGGTTACCAAGAGGCTGATGGTGTCTGCCTACACCAATGAGTGAGGTGTGAATGTGGTACTTAACAGAGAGAGGAGGGGAGGCAGGTTTATAAAGTCAGAATTGCCGTAACTAGTTTTCAAGGCCTACTGTTTCCTTTTCATCTCTGTGAGTTTTTGGGGTACCATTAAATTTTATGCCTGAGACTTTTAGGATCCCTCCAGACAGTGACTCTCGTGGCCTCTGAGCTCTGAGATGGTCTGACTGTGGTGGCAGTCCCTTCTCTGCTCCATGTACCCCGGACACAATATTCCCCCTCTCCAGGGCTTCATGCTTATGTGACACTGTGCTTCCTTTACAGCTGGTGGGTAAAGACTTAGCTCCCAGGGGAGGGGGCAGTGGATGTTCTACCCTGTTTCCCAACTTGCCCAGCCGAGTGGACTCTGGTTGCCCACAGCAATGACTGGCTCGATGGCCTCACCTTGTAGTGGCTTCTTCCTATATCCCTGTCTCAGTTCTTCACTCCCCTACAGGTGCTTCCTGGAGTCCCATCCCAAATAACTCGTACAGGAATCTTTGTCACAGGGAAAACCCAAACTAAGATGAAAACTGTTCATTTTGCCCACTCTAAAATCAAAACATTAAGGTGTACAGAATGAATGAAACTCTTCCTCCCCAAGCCAGGTGGTGTACGTTTGCTGTGTTTGCATCCATTTTTGTTACGTTTGCTCCTATGGGTGTTGTAAATGTTTGTGGACGGTTTTGTCTCCTGCCCTAATCATTTTCCTCCTTTTGAATCCTTGGTCATGATGACTCTGTTCCTCCCTATTTCCCTCACGCTTAGCCCCTAGCAACCGTTTTTCTACTCCGTTTCTGGGTTTAACTTTTCCCCATATAAGTGATACCACTGCAGTATTTGTCTTTCTCTGGCTTATTTCACTTAATGTAATACCCCCAAGGTCCATCCATGTTTTGTTGTGGCTGCATAATATTCCATTGTATAAGTATAATGACATCTTTTTTATCCGTTCATTCACTGATGGACACTTAGGCTGTTTCCACATCTTGGCTGTTGTGATTAATGCTGCCATGAATGTGGGAGGGCAGATATCTCTTTGAGATCCTGTTTTCATTCCTTTGGATATATATCCTGGAAGTGGGATTGCTGGATCATATGGTAGTTTTATTTTTAATTTCGTGAGAAACCTCCATACTGTTGTGCATAGTGACTGTACCAATTTACAATCCCACCAACAGTGACAATGGTTTCCTTTTCTCCGCATTCTTGCTAACACTTCCTATCTCTTGCCTTTTTGATAATAGCCGTCGTAACAGGTATGAGGCAACATCATTGTGGTTGTGATTTGCATTTTCCTGATGATTAGTGATGTTGAGCACCTTTCCATGTACCTGTTGGCCATTTGTATGTCCTCTTTGGAAAAATATCTGTTTGGTTTCTATATTTGATTTTGAATTGGGTCCTTTGTTTGCTGTTGGGTTGTGCATGATGATTTTTTATGGCTTCTGCTGGTTGGAAGGCTCTGGCTTGGCCGTGACCCCACTGGTGATGTGTCCGCCCCTCAACCCTTGCAGGCATTCGCCCCTACAAATGTGACGTCTGCAACAAGGCCTTCACCCAGCGCTGTTCCTTGGAGTCCCACCTGAAGAAAATCCACGGGGTGCAGCAGCAGTATGCCTACAAGCAACGCCGGGACAAGCTCTACGTCTGTGAGGATTGTGGCTACACGGGCCCCACCCAGGAGGACCTGTACCTGCACGTGAACAGTGCCCACCCGGGCAGCGCGTTTCTCAAAAAGACATCCAAAAAACTGGCAGCGCTTTTGCAAAACAAGTTGACATCCGCGCTCCAGGAGAATGCCAACCTGAGCGAGGAGGAGGAGAAGTGAGGAGGAGGGAGAGACGCCGATGCTGACACGTTTACATGGATGTTTGGGTCTGAGGGTCCCACTGGCTCTTTCTGATTACAAGTGTTCAGTTTATCTCTTTGTCTTTTTGGGGCCTCAGCAGGGGGATCTGTTCCAAGGCTGTCGATTGTAAGAGTGGTGTCAGGTCCCCCACAACCCATGTCCTGTTGAACACAATCATGTTAACAAAAGCCGATGGGTGGCTATGATCACCGTGCAGGACTTTTTTTTTTTTTAGGATTTTCACACATGGAGGCGGAGATGTTCTTTAGAGAGACCATCATATTATGGTGCCTTGAAATAAAAATACTTCCACTTGAAATGCTACTTAAGCTAGAAAAGTGAACTTTATTATCCCAAAAGAGTTTTTGTTAATCTTCACCCGAGGATATTTTTTCCATTGAGTGGAAAGGAGGGAAGGGAGGGGAAAGAGAGAGGAAAAAAACATTAATGTGAGAGAGACACTTGGATTGGTTGCCTCCCACATGCCCTGGACCAGAACCAGGGATCGAACCTGCAACGTGACCGGGAATCGAATCCACAACCCTTTGGAGCTCAGGCTGATGCTCTAACCACTGAGCAACACTGGCCAGGGCTCTGGTGCCTTTTAAGCGGCTGCCCCAGCGCTAAAGCCCTGGGCTCGGGGGCCTGGTGTGGGGTTGGGACCCTTCGCTCCTCAGGAGGGACCTCTGCAGGTGAGATATCCCTTCCCAATTTTTATCTGCTACACGTGGGTGTGGGACCCGCCGCTTCAGCATCTCCACCCGTCCTGCCAGTCTCGCTGTGGCTTCTTTAAATCCTTCGTTGTAGGATTTCAGGTGGTTCTGAATGATGATCGTTCCGTAGTTTAGTTGTAATTCTGATGTGGTTGTGGGAGGAAGCGAGTGCCGCATTTACCTGCACTGTCATCTTAACTGGAAGTCTTGGTTGATGTCTTAGGTTGAGTTCCTACAAGTGCAGCCTGGGACAGATTCTGAGGTAAGTGATTTTTGGGGGAGGCTCTAGGGATAAACCAATACGGAGGTAAGAGGAACAAAATACAACAGAGGAAGAAACTAGGCAAAGTTGTGGGTTCAACTGCAGTCCAGCCTCAGCCTGGTCTTAGGGAAACCTCTGCAGAGTGAATGGTACCGTAGACAGTCTCGCCTTCAGCCAGGGGCTGTGGTTACCCCTGGGAGGAAAGGGAAAGGGCATGACCATCAACCTGTTTAGCAGCTGGTGCTCCAAGCAGCTGTGGGCTGGTTCACTTGGAGGCTTCCAGGGTGAGAGAGCAAACACAGGAATGGATTCTTAACTGTGAAAAAGATTGAGGTCCATAAGCTCTGGCTGCTTCTCCAGGGAATATTTACATTTTGGTAGAGGACCTCTTTTGAAGCTAAAGGAGTGAATCGCTTATTGCAAATTATATGGTCTTTGGGGCAGAGATAAAAAATATACATTAAAATGTATACAGAAAAAAAAATCTGCTCTCTAAATCTGTTTCTTGTCTGCCAAGCCCCTCTTCTATGTAACAGTCAACAGCTGTTAGCTTCTTGTGGAACTTTCTTGAGATTCTTTATTGATATGTAAGCAGATATGAATATACGTATTCTTGTTCTACTGGTTGTTTTTCAGTTAGTAGATAGCATTATGCATACTGTTTGGAGCCTTGCATTTTTCTTTCTTTCTTTTTTTAATGTTTTTATTGATTTCAGAGAGAGGAAGGGATGGGGAGAAAGAGAGAGAAACATCAATGATGAGAGTCATTGATCGGCTGCCTCCTGCACGCTCCCTCTTGGGGATTGATCCCGCAAGCCGGGCATGTGCCCTGACCAGGAATCGAACCACGATCTCCTGAATCACAGGTCGATGCTCAATGGCTGAGCCATGCCAGCCAGGCTGCATTTTTCTTTTGATAATATATCTAGTAGTTCTTACCATAATAAAACAAAAAAAAGTATTTTCACCCTTCTTTACAGCTATCTGGTGTTGTGTTTTACGGATATATAATAATTGCGGTTATCTGTCTTCCACTGATGGACATTTATGTTATTCCCAGTGTTTCGCTGCTATGAAGAATGCTACAGTGAGTAACTTTATATATGCCATTTCACATATGTGCAAACGTATCTGTGGGGTAAATTCCCAGAAGTGCAGTTGTGAGGGTAAGTGTATGCCCACCACGGTGTTGATTGATTTGGCCCAGTTCCCTGGCACAGAAATGTACCACTTTGCAGTCCCACTGGCAACGTGTGAGAGCGCTTCTCTCCTCACCACTCTGCCAGCGTTTTACTGTCATGGTTTGGGATTTGGGCCCACCTGATAGGGGAGAAATCGACTCTCAGGGTAGTTTTATTATACATTCCTCTTACTATGTGTGAGAGAAAGCGGTTGCATGTCTTCTGCTACGATCAAGAACCATTAGTAGTTCCTTATTCTGAGAACTGCCTGAATGCCCATGTGTCTATGGGTTGTAGGTCTTTTTTCTTTCTTTTTCTGCCCAACTTCCAGGAGTTTGTTTATTTGATTAAATGTATTAGGAAGTTTAGCTCTTTGTGATGGAAGTTAAGAGTTTTTCTCCAGATTATCATTTATCTTTTGATTTTGCTCATGCTGGGTTTTTTTTGGCCAAGCAGAAGTTTTGTGATTTTTATGAAATTTGAATTGATTCATCGCTTTCTTTTATGGTTGCTGGAGATTGAGTTGCAATTAGAAAGGCCTTCCTACTCCAGCGTTATATCTGAATTGTGTCGTGCCTTCTTCGAGGGCTTGAATGGTTTCATTTTATCATGTATAAATCTTTGATCCATTTGAACTGTTTTCTGGCATATAGTGGGAGGTATGGATCCAACTTTTATCATTTTCCAGATGGCTGCCAAGAGATATTTTTTAACTGGAAGCTGGTCCAAAATGCACCAGAGAATGCTTTTTTTAGGAAAAGGTCACGTGCCTCAGCAGAAGGTGTTGTGAATTACAATACAAAGCAGTTTTCTTTAACTAGCAAAGATTTATTTGTTCAGCGAGTATTTGCTGGGTGCCGACTGTGTGCCAGGTACTTTTCCAGATACTGAGGCTAGGGAAAGGTAGACACAAGTCCCTGCTCTCCGGGAGCTCCCACTCCCTTGGGGGAGAGACAGACAAGAAATAAGCAAGTAAATATATACTGCGTTAGCTTCTATGGAGAAAAAGCACATCAGTGTTCCAGTTACTGTGACTGCAACAAATTGTGCCAAACTTAGGGGTTCCGTGGGTCAGGAACTTGGACAAGTCACAGCACGGAGGCACAGGGGATGGCCTTTCCTCTTCTGCATGATGTCTGGGGCCTCAGCTAGAAGAGTTGAAGGCTGGGCCCTCCTAGCCATCTGAAGGCTCGGGCACTCATGCATTTGGAGGTTACCGCTGGCTGTCGGCTGGAGTCCAGATTCTTCCCCACGTGGGGCTCCCCTGGTGGGCTCTCTGTGCGAGCTGGTTTGGGCTTCCTCTGATGTGATGGGCCCCAAGGGAGGACGTCCTAGGAGCGTCAGGCGGAAGCTGTGTCACCTGTGAAGAGCCTGCCTCCTGTAGCATCACTGCTTCTACCACATTCTGTCTGTTGGGAGCAGGTTCCTAAGGCTGGTCCATATTGAAGGGGAGGTGGTAAGACTCCCTTTTGATGGAAAAGCGCTTCTAGAAGAGCTGTGGGACCATGCAAATTGCTATGGCCATTTTTAGAAAGTAGAATCTTTCATGTAAGATGAGGAGGGCTGGCCTGAGGATGGATAGGTGACGTCCGTGGAGTGTGAGCATTTATACAGGGAGTCAGGGGTGTGCGGTGTGAAGGAGGTGAGGGAGGAAGTCCTGTGGTTATCTGGGGGTGTCCCGGGCAGAGGGAACAGCAAAGGCAGAGGCCAGGAAGTAGGGGTGTATGTGACTTGCTTGAAGAGCTCTGTGGAGTGAGGGGAGAAGGGGAGTGTAGGCGAGGTCAGAGGTCGCGGGGAGCAGGTCGCTGGTGCAGGCTGTTGGAAAGACTTCGGCTTTTCTCCTGAACAAACTGGGAGACCGGCGAGAGCTTTGAGGTGGAGGTGGGGAGACAGGTTAGGAAGCCATTGCGAAAATAAAGGCAGGGCATGCCGAATGCTTGTTGGCCGGGTGATAGCGCAAGAGGTCGTGAGAATGGCCAGCTGGATATATTTTTAAAAACACCTCTGTGTTTTCGGTTGATGAACTGGATGCGGGTTAGTGGACAGACCGTACACCTTTATTTGCCCAGGACAGTTCCAGTTGATAGAATGAATGGCATGGTAGCCCGGTTATGAGAAAAAGGAGTCAAGAATGCTTCATATGGGGGCATAAATGGTGATGGGGAAAAATAAATAAATAAACAAATAAATAAAATAAAGAGGGGAAAAAAAAGAATGGCTCCGAAGCTTTTGGCCTGAGCAACTGGAAGAGTTGCTGTGCCTGAGGAGCTGGGTTGGGGAAGGGTTGGGATCAGAGTTCCAATTCGGATCTTTTCAAGTTGCTTAAGAGACTTCTAAGTGTCCCGTAAGCACAAGGACAATTGACTAGGAGGTGGGAGCTCCGGGGCAGGGCGTGAGGTGGACATGGGAGGTCCAGTGGTTGCTGGACCACAGGAAGCACGAGGCCCTGAGGCTGGAAGCCACGTGGAGAACAGCAAGGAGCTGCGGTGGGAAAGGAGGTGGGGGGCCTCCCTTTGAGGGGAGTTTTCCATGGCTCGCTGGCTGCCTGCTCTTTGCTTTGAATGAAACTCTTTCTTAGGTACATGCACTTCCTCATCCTAAACAGAGGACAATAAACCCCATCTGCTGTTAGAAGTGACTTAGTCACCCTTGTAAATATTGCCTGTGGTCATCCCCTTTTGCAGGCGTGGCTTCTGCAAGCCCCTGTGGCCATGGGCCTGCTTGTCCCTGTGCCCTGCAGCCCAGTGTGTTCTGCACCTTCCGTTTGCATTTTGAGTTTTCGGTCACTTTCCTTCTTCTTGTATAGCAGCCCCTGCTCCTCTAATCCAGGGCTTTCCAGCTACTGTTGTTTGATAACTGGCTTACCGAGCGCACTAGAACTATAGGTGAAGGGAGGGGTGTCCTGTGAGCATGAGTCATTTAGGCTTCTTTCTTTTCTTCTTCATTTTCCCTGGATAATTGCTTACCAGAAGGTAACTTGGGTAAGAGAAGTGGAACTATAAAAATGATTTTGTTGCCAAATTAATCAGTCGTGTGCACTATTTATTAGGCCACTCTCCCCTTCATCCCAAGCATTGTATTAGACCCAGCTTCAGAGAATGACTGATTAGTTCATTCCTACAACAAACACTAGTTGTGGGCCTACAGATAGAACAGACAAAAACCCCTGCCAG